ATTTCCTATTCCTACCGTGTGTGGCCCTCTATATGCGACGGGCTGACTTCTCGCCTACCTATACGCGGGGACTTTAAAGTGAAATAAATTAGAGCCGATGCTCGCTGAATAACTCTCCCTCGGCCCGTCGCGTACCAACCCCTTTTCGAAGTCTGGCTGAGGGGTGCGTTCGCTGGGCTACGACTTCTCGCTTCGATAACGCGTCCGCTTATGATCGCGGTTTCGACGCATTTGTCACTACGGTTTATTGCGGAATGCGATATTGAGAGACCGGCAGACTGTTTATGGGAACGTGATTCAATTTTTTAGTCGTACGTTACGTTCGACCCTATTTTCACCCTGTCATCGAACTTTGCAACTGGTGTTTGTTATTGTGGATGGCGAAACTGTTGCTACCGAGTCTTTCTTTTTACATTTGGAAGTTTATGGGCGAGAAGTTTGGAATTTAGAAATTGATGGATCGAGATGTTTTGACAGGTAGTAATTCGAGGCGTGGTAATTCAGCACGTGGTAATTCGGCGCATAGGAATTCGGCGCGTGGTAAATTCGACACGTGGTAATTCGACGCATAGGAATTCAACTCGTGGTAAATTCGATGCGTGGTAATTCGGCGCATAGGAATTCGACGCGTGGTAAATTCGATGCGTAGAATTTCGACGCGTGGTGATTCGGCACGTGGTAAATTCGGCGCGTGGTAATTCAGCACGTGGTAAATTCGACGCGTGGTAATTCGGCGCAAGGAATTCGACGCGTGGTGTATTCGACGCGTAGTAATTCGACGCGTGGTAATTCGGCGCGTGGTAATTCGGCGCGTGGTATATTCGACGCGTGGTAATTCGGCGCGTGGTATTTCGGCGCGTGGTATATTCGACGCGTGGTAATTCGGCGCGTAGGAATTCGATGCGTGGTAGATTCGACGCGTGGTAATTCGGTACGTGGTAAATTCGACGCGTGGTAATTCGGCGCGTAGTGTATTCGACGCGTGGTAATTCGGCGCGTGGTATTTCGGCGCGTGGTATATTCGACGCGTGGTAATTCGGCGCGTGGTATTTCGGCGCGTGGTATATTCGAAATTCGACGCGTGGTAATTCGGCACGTGGTAAATTCGACGCGTGGTTATTCGACGCGTGGTAAATTCGACGCGTAGTAATTCAACGCGTGGTGATTCGACGCGTATTTGACGATTTTTGAAATTGAAGTATCTTGTAGCACGCTATAGTCGATGCACTTTCGCAGCTCGAATTTTTCATTTCCACAGAATAATCACTGATGCACGCATACGATTATGCGCAATTTGTCGCACTTATCGGGGCGGACATCATAAACGACCGGTACGTGCTCGCTTTCGTGAATACCGGTTCATCCAGTCACTAGTTTGCAGTTTGCATACGATATTCCAAGGTCGGGTCATTTCGTCGCTGTCTCGACTATCGCCATCGATCTTGCGCTGGAAAATATCCTGAATTCATATAGTATCTACTTTAAGAACATTAAGGACTATCATAAATACGCTATAATATAAAATAACAGGTAATTAATAATATATGGGTTGATAAAATCTGTTAACTTCATAACCTCCGCACGAGCCTGTTAGTTGAAACACTTCGTTGAATATAAATTTGACTTATGAGAAAATCGATAAAAATCGACTCACAAATTATACACTTGTTATATTATACAGCTCATTACGACCCACATTTGTAAAGGCTTTTGTATTTCATAAATAACTTTTTAAACATGCGAAATATTCAGTTCGAACAATTCGAGACACGATTATCTCTGGAGTTAACATATTTCGCGAACAAAAGGCAAACATGCAAAACAAAACGATGAAGACACGAATAAAGCATATCCAGCTGAACGTGAAATTGTATCGTCCCAACGTCCCATAGAACCCCGTCGCAATGCGATCGCTCATCGCGCTCTAATAACACGTTCTTCCTTCGTAGTTACACAAAGCGTATCAGAGTGTTTGATACAACCGCGACACGCAATTACGATGCAAACGATACGGTGCAAACGTCTCAAGTGCACACGCCACCGATATAAACGCGAAGCGTTTTGAAGGAACGCTGCGAAATTGCATGTACACTCGCGTGCAAAGATGGCTCCGTTCGATTAGGGGAAGATACTCTTTCAAAATCTGGCGCTTCATCCACGTCTTCTTCACCCGTGTTCGATGACAATCTTCTATACATTTTTCATGGCACTCTTAATGAAGCTTTTGACAGTTGTACTTTGTTTTTGATGATAAAGATACATTGATAAAAAAATGTATTTAGTATATTTTGGTAGAATTTCGACGCGTGGTGATTCGGCACGTGATCAATTCGACGTGTGTTAATTCGGCATGTGGTAAATTCGACGCGTGGTAATTCGGCGCATAGGAATTCGACGCGTGGTAAATTCGATGCGTGGTAATTCCACGCGTAGGAATTCGACGCGTGGTGATTCGGCACGTGGTAAATTCGACACGTGGTAATTCGGCACATAGGAATTCGACGCGTAGTAAATTCGACGCGTGGTGTATTCCACGCGTGGTAATTCGACGCGTGATGTATTCCACGCGTGGTAAATTCGACGCTTGGTAATTCGGCGCATGGTGTATTCCACGCGTGGTAATTCGACGCGTGGTGTATTCCACGCGTGGTAATTCGACGCGTG